GGCAGCTATAGGATATAGTCGGCCGATCCTTATGAAATTCGGCATGTCGGATTGATTAGCCAAATATAAAACCCATAGAAAATCCCAACATTCTAACTTTACAAACACCAAAGTTATGGCATTTCCGATCGTTCAGTTATATGGCAGCTATAGGATATAGTCGGCCGATCCCGGCCGTTCCGACTTATATACTGCGTGCAAAGGAAAGAAGGGTGTGTGCAAAGTTTCAATTCGATATCTTTAAAACTGAGAGACAAGTTCGCGTAGAAACAGACAGACGGACAGACAGACGGACAGACAGACGGACAGACAGACGGACAGACGGACATGGCTATATCAACTCAGGAGGTGATCCTGATCAAGAATATATATACTTTATAGGGTCGGAGATGTCTCCTTCACTGCGTTGCACACTTTTGACCAAAATTATAATACCCTCTGCAAGGGTATAACGAGGACGGAAGGTAGCTTCTGCAAGCCGAAGTTGTAATATCCTTGATGACTTTGCCAAAATTGCTAAAATTAAAAAAGTAGCGAAAGGAATAAGGTATACATAAATAAACTAGATTTGCATAGTATCATGTCAATAGCTTTAAAAAAACAAGAAAGGAAAGCTAACTTCGGGCGGAGCCGAAGTTGATATACCCCTGCAGAATACTCTGTAAATTCTATTCTCCAAAATTATTCATATTATGTATTCTTAATACACATAAAAAGTCCCAACTTCCTAACTTTAAAAACAACAAAGTTATGGCATTTCCGATCAATCAGTTATATGGCAGCTATAGGATATAGTCGGCCGATCCCGGCCGTTCCGACATATATACTGCGTGCAAAGGAAAGAAGGGTGTGTGCAAAGTTTCTATTCGATATCTTTAAAACTGAGAGACTAGTTCGCGTAGAAACAGACAGACGGACAGACGGACATGGCTATATCAAATCAGGAGGTGATCCTGATCAAGAATATATATACTTTATAGGGTCGGAGATGTCTCCTTCACTGCGTTGCACACTTTTGAATAAAATTATAATACCCTCTGCAAGGGTATAACAAGAGAGAACTCTATAGTCGAGTGCCTCGACTATTAGATACCCGTTACTCAGCTAAACAAATTAACATAATAATTGCCGGGCAATTGGAACTGTGTACAATGTAAATACATACGTATGTATATGCTTACATACATACACACATACGCCAATGTTTGACTCAGACCTCCAATTTGGCTAACTTGATTTGATTTGCATAGTTCTTGGGATATAGTTCGGTATTGACAAATGAAAACCATCGCAATTTCCTTTAATAGAAATCCCTATCGAGGATTAATGTTGACTCCGTTGAGCACATGGCCAGTTGTTCCAAAGTCATCCGTTAGAAGGCGCTGTTGTATTGCGCCATCTACCCCAAGACATTGGTACCACGGGCCATGAAAGGCGGAAATGTAGGCGCTAGCCAGGCTTAAGCGTTTAATGGGTTTTTGGGCGTTAGAGTGGGCGTGGCAAACTTTTATTAGGCCAATCGATAGGTATTGACGAAACAAATACATATCAATTAAAATTTTCATAATGGCATCAAAACTGTGGCCACAGCTTGTGGCTTGTGGGCGTCAGAGGGGGCGTGGCACCATTTTGAAACAAACTTGCGCTGCGTAGGAACTCCTAAAATCTACATGCAAAATGCCAATCTTCTAGCTTTTATAGTTTCCGAGATCTCAGCGTTCATACGGACGGACAGACAGACGGACAGACGGACATGGCTAGATCGACTCGGCTAGTGATCCTGAACAAGAATATATATACTTTATAGGGTCGGAAACGCTTCCTTCTACCTGTTACATACTTTTACACGAATACAATATACCCTTTTACTCTACGAGTAACGGGTATAATTAGAAACAAGAAAGGAAAGCTAACTTCGGGCGGAGCCGAAGTTGAAATACCCTTGCAGAATATTCTGCAAATTATATTCTCCAAAATTATTCATATGATGCATTCTTAATACTCACAAAAAAAACACCAAAGTTATGGCATTTCCAATCGTTCAGTTATGTATATGGCAGCTATAGAATATAGTCGGCCGATCCTTATGAAATTTGATATGTCGGATTGATTGGGCAAAAATAAAACCCATAGAAAATCCCAACTTCCTAACTTAACAAACACTAAAGTTATGGCATTTCCGATCAATCAGTTATATGGCAGCTATAAGATATAGTCGGCCTATCCTTATGAAATTTGGTAGGTCGTATTAATTGGCCAAATATAATACCCATAGAGAGTCCCAACATCCTAACTTAACAAACAGCAGAGTTATGGCATTTCCGATCAATCAGTTATATGGCAGCTATAGGATATAGTCGTTCCGATTTATATACTGCGTGCAAAGGAAAGAAGGGTGTGTGCACAGTTTCAATTCGATATCTTTAAAACTGACAGACTAGTTCGCGTAGAAACAGACAGACGGACAGACAGACGGACAGACAGACGGACAGACAGACGGACAGACGGACATGGCTATATCAACTCAGGAGGTGATCCTGATCAAGAATATATATACTTTATAGGGTCGGAGATGTCTCCTTCACTGCGTTGCACACTTTTGACCGAAATTATAATACCCTCTGCAAGGGTATAAAAACGAGGTCGGAAGCTAATTTCGACAAGCCTAAGTTTTAATACCCTTGCAGACTTTGCCGAAATTGCAAAAATTGAAAAAGCAGCGAAAGGAATAAGGTATACATAAATAAACTAGATTTGCATAGTTTCATGTCAATAGCCTTTATACTGCAAAATTGTCCTATACAAATAGGAAAAAAAGGGATATTTTTCACAGCCTTTAACTAACGGAAGCTATAAGATATAGACGTCCGATCGGCAAGCGCTTTAACCCTGATCAAGATATGCGTAAATAAATAAGACTTGGAAAAATTTTTGTCAATAGCATACACTCGGCGTGAAGATTTCGCCCTATTGTTTTTATGGGAGCTATCGGCACGCGTTTTTACCCTGATCAAGGTATGCATAAAAAAATTTGGAAAGATTCATGTCAATATCTTTTAAACTGCGCGAAATATCCTAAAAATCATTAAATTTTAACCGATTTCACCCTATTGTTCCTATGGGAGTTATAGGATATAAACGTCCGATCGGGGCGATTTTCAACCTTGATCTGCTTTCACATGTTTTAGAACGACTGTGAATCGATTGTTTTAGATCGCTATAGCTTTTAAACTTAGCTTTAATTTAATTTTATTAAAAACATAATTCAATAATATTTAAATATTACCAAATCCCAAAGAAAAAAAATTAAAAACAACAAAGTTATACATTTTAAAATTATAGTCGCCCGATCCAGCTGGTATCGACGTATATGCTACCTGCAATAGGAAGACAAATTGTAGCAAATTGAGGGACTAGTTTGCGTATAAAGGAAGGAAGGACGCCCTCCCTAGGTGATGCTGATCAAGAATATATATACTAACAAATTCGGGATTTAACACTTTGAAAAAAATATAATTTTTATTTATCAAAATAGTGTAAACGCGAACTGGGAGAGATAGGTCTGCTCCTTACAAGATTCAACTTAAGACTCAAACTTATAAACTAAGCTGGCGCTTATCAAACCTTCGATTGGGAAAAAGAACTCGATTGATAAATTGAGAGTGTCCAAAATGAGAGCACTGAGCATGAGAGCGATCTAGGTTTGAGCTGCGTCTGCAATTTTTTAGTATTGGGGGATAAAAGCTTTTTGGAGTTTGGGGACATTTGTTTATAACGCAAGAGGATGTTTACATTAATTGGTCAGTCGTGGGAGCCGCCAATTTGGGGTTCATTCATCTGTTTATAACTCAATAGGATGTTTATATTAATTGGCGACTCTTGGGAGCCGAGGATTGCCAAATGCGGAATGTAAATATGTTTATGTGGTAGATATGAGGGTGTAGGTATGTTACTATATACTTTATTGGGTCGAAAATGTATTCTTCTCTGCGTTGCAAACCTTTAACTGAAATTATAATACCCGTTGCAAGAAATACAAATTTTGTAGTTAAAATAGTAGTAGTAGTTGCAAAGGAAACTGGAAAACTCTAGAAGGGAGTTATCCATCCCCTGAGCTTGGCATTTTTCGGACATTTCTAAGCAATTTCTTATTGCTTAGTGGTCAGTTTCAACGCTCATATCAATTTCTCTGCTGTCTTTTGGCCTTTTAACAAAACTCAGCACAGCAAAAGTAAACAGTAGCATGCGGCCTGCCGAAATTTGCAGAGTAATCCCTTTAGTCGAATTTCTATATTGAAATGATAATTGCATTATCATAGTTTCCGACTCTCTTGATAAAATTTAAAATCTCTCAATTGACAAAAATTCTCTTAAGCCCAGGTTTGATGGTTAAGATTGACTACATTGATAAACAGTCGATTTCTAGCCTAATAACAGATCGGAAGCAATTCATTAAAACGTTTAGAGACAAGTGATAAGTGAAAAATATGGATCCATCTACTTCAATAAAAGCCTTACAAATCTTTTTAATACAAATATATAACGACGACATCAAACATTGACCCCCACTTATTATTATTATACGATAAGAGAGTGGAGAATTTCTGCGACAGCTTTTGGAATGTTCTTCCTTTTAATATAATATATTAATCAATTTTGTATACCTAACCAGGCAGAAATGGGAAAGTGCTCTAACTGCCGTTCTAGTCGAAAACAATATACCCTTTAATTCTACAATTACCAAGTTTGGGTAAATTCCAAATCACAAACATTTGACTTGATGTAACGGGGTAGTAGTTAATAATGGTTTCAGATTAAAACCTAAAAGTAGTAGCGAAAAATTGCGATTCTATGATTGCTTACTTATCACTTACCTCATAATGACAGCAGGGGCATTATCCAGGGGCACCTAAATCATGTATGCTAACCACTCGAGATCAATCGTCGGAAAGAAGCGCTCGCTCAACAAAGCGATCAGCAAATGACAACAAAAACAGCTTAACCATCTTCCAACGACCGGTATAAAAGTGCGCGTCGATTCACGGCGGCCAGTCATAACTTGGAGCCCAACACCATGCTCAGAACTATTTCGATTTTGGTTCTGCTCGTTTGCAGTGCAGCCAACATGGCAGAATCAAAGCCTATCTTTTTAAAGGTTTTGGCACCCATCGGTGGTATACCTCCTATCGGTTGATAGTTAATCCCACAGTTTAATGTTGTACGTTCCTCTTCAGGCTACTCCAGTGGCAGTTACCGGAGTACCGTGGCGACTGCGCCCGTTAACAACCAGCTGATCTCGAGCCTCATCTCTTCCAAAATTCAGCTGCTGAACAGCGTGCTGCAAGCCAAGTCTTCGGCGGGGGGTTACAGTATCGGCTTCAACAAGATTGTCACTTTCTCCAGCACAACCACGACAGAAAAGCCAGTGACGCACCACACTACCGAGGTAAACACAGACTTTACTCCGGATGATTCATCTATTAGCACTACTCAACTCGTCTACACGACAACCACAGAAGGTGCTGTAGAAACGCCGAGCCCCACAATTCGTCCCGAGCCCCCTTCTCCACCAGCACGACTGCAGTGATTCCAATCAAGAGCACTACAGTAGTTCCTGAAGTCACCACTACAACGACAGCAAACTCCGGCTACACATATCGCACTCCCACTTCCGGGCCTGCCACTAGTTCAGTGGACCTCCATTATGTTCCCGCTCCCCCTGCCCAAGGCTCATTACAAGCCAGCATAGCATAGCAGCTCAGTTAAAATAGCTTAGTCTTAGCCATAGTCCGAATTCAGTAAAATAAAGTAACTTCAGATTTGCGACTCTTAATTTTTGTATATGCTTCTTATCTTGGCCGTGCTTTAATTTTCGCGGAAGCGATTTATACATAGTCTCATATTGCTTGCTTAACAATGGCTAGCTTTGTGCAACTATCTGCCTAGAGGGAATTTTATTAGCATAGAAACTGGTTTTTTAAAGAATGAAGTGGTCTACAAAGCAAATACTAAATATTTCAAACACTGCTTACTCAGATTGGCAGACAGATTCTAACACGTGCGTACGCTAGAAAGAACCTAGAGTTTCAAGGTAAGCCACAAGGCTTAGGCAACAATCTAACACACACTCTGACTTCTGTTTTTATGTATTAAACTGAAATCTTTTATTTTGTATGAAATATTACTCACTTATAATAGTCTGATTTTTGAGCTGAATTTGTATATGCTTATGTGGTTATATATCTTATATATATGAAATGGTAATTAAGCACTTTACCTTTATCGATCTTTTTAAAATTTAAAGTGTATTCCTAAAATTGTAAAAAACATATTTATCACATATTTATAAATATTAAAAGACGAAGTTGAAATACCCTTGCAGAATATTCTGTAAATTATATTCTCCAAAATTATTCATATGATGCATTCATATGATGCATTCTTAAAAATCCCAACTTCCTAACTTTAAAAAAAAAACCAAAGTTATGGCATTTCCAATCGTTCAGTTATATGGCAGCTATAGTCGGCCGATCCTTATAAAATTTGATATGTCAGATTGATTGGCGAAACTTAACAACCACCAAAGTTATGGCAGTTCCGATTAATCAGTTATATGGCGGCTATAGGATATAGTCGGCCGATCCTTATGAAATCGGCACGCGCTTTTACCCTGATCAAGATATGCATAAAAATACGCTGCTCGAAATATCTTTAATTCTTGCAAATTATATCCGATTGTTTCTATGGACGTCCGATCGGGGCGTTTTTCAAACTTGATCTGCGTACACAGGTTTTAGGGCGACTTTCAGTTCGCCAGGTTTTAAACTGAGCTCGCAAAAGGTATTGAAACGGACAGACAGACATGGGTAAATTGACGGAATTGTCGGAAATGTCTCCTTCACTGCGTTGCAAACTTCTGACCAAAATTATATTACCCTCTGCAAGGGTATAAAAACAACGAATTTATAACTTTTTTATAATTTATTTTTCCTATTGTTCCTAAGGGAGATATAATGATATGGCAGCTATATGATATAGTCGCCTGATCTTTCGCATTCTGAAATATTTACTACCTGCAGTATAAAATTTCGGAAACATTTATAAAGATAGTCCTAAAACTAAAAGACTAGTTCGAGTAAAAAAGAACGGACTTGCCTAGATCATAGTAGATACTTTATACTTTTTGACAAATTAAATGCAGGTGTATTAAAATGATATATAAGTGAAATTCGCTTGCCAATTTTCATGAACATAGCTTAATTTCGACTTGGCTTCCAGCTAATGTCAAAGTAAGTAAAGACTTTCTACACCGAAAAAATGTTTTCTTTAACAGTGATAAAAGTTTTCACATTCTGCATTATTCTGGTATGATTCGTGGCGTGGAAAGACGTACGTAGGTAAAATAAAATTGTTTCAAAAATATGGGGAATAACATGTTGTCCTTGTTAAAATAAATAAACGTAAGTACAATAACGTTATAATTGTATATGTTATAATAGTGATGCTTACAAAAAATTAATAGAAAATCCGAAATTCCTAACTTTACAAACAGCAAAGTTATGACATTTTCGATCAACCAGTTATATGGCAGCTATAGGATATAGTCGGCCGATCCTTATGAAATTTGATATGTCGGATTGATTGGGCAAAAATAAAACCCATAGAAAATCCCAACTTTCTAACTTTACAAACACCAAATAAATAAACATAAGTACAATAACGTTATAATTGTATATGTTATAATAGTGATGCTTACAAAAAATTAATAGAAAATCCGAACTTCCTAACTTTACAAACAGCAAAGTTATGACATTTCCGATCAATCAGTTATATGGCGGCTATAGGATATAGTCGGCCGATCCTTATGAAATTTGGTAGGTCGGATTGATTGACCCAAAATAAAACCAGTAGAAAATTCCAACTTTAAAAACACCAAAGTTATGGCATTTCCGATCGTTCAGTTATATGACAGCTATATGATATAGTCGCGCGATCCGGCTCGTTCCGACTTATATACTACCTGCAATAGAAAGAAAAATGTTGGGATAGTTTCAAGCAGATAGCTTTAAAACTAAGGGACTAGTTTGCGTAGAAACGGAAAGACGGACGGACAGACGGACATGGGCTAGATCGACTCTCCCGGTGATGCTGATCAAGAATATATATACTTTAAGGGTCGAAATGTCTCCTTCACTGCGTTGCTAACTTTTGACTGAAATAATAATACCCTCTGCAAGGGTATAACAAAAAAGAAAAGCTAACTTCGGGAGGAGCCAAAGATGATCTACCCTTGCAGAATATTCTGTAAATTATATTCTCTAAAACTATTCATATAATGCATTCTTAATACTCATAAAAATCCCAACTTCCTAACTTTAAAAACACCAAGGTTATGGCATTTCCAATCGTTCAGTTATATAGTAGTCCTACAGCTACCATATAATTTAACGATTGGAAATGCCATAAATAAAGTCGGCCTTATGAAATTCGGTAGGTCGAATTGATTGGGCAAAAATAAAACCCATAGAAAATCCAAACTTTCTAACTTTACAAGCACCAAAGTTATGGCATTTCCGAGCAATCAGTTATATGGCGGCTATAAGATATAGTCGGCAAATCCCAGCAGTTCCGACTTATATACTGCGTGCAAAGGATCGAAGGATGTGTGCAATGTTTCAATTCGATATCTTTAAAACTGAGAAACTAGTTCGCGTAGAAACAGACAGACGGACAGACAGACAGGCGTACATGCTTATATCAACTCAGGAGGTGATCCTGATCAAGAATATATATACTTTATAGGGTCGAAATGTCTCCTTCACTGCGTTGCAAATTTTTGACTGAAATTATAATTCCCTCTGCAAGGGTATAACAAGAAAAAAAAGCTAACATTGGGCGGAGCCGAAGTTGAAATACCCTTGCAGAATATTCTGTCAATTGTATTCTCCAAAATTATTCATATGATGCATTTTTAACACTCATAAAAAATCCTAACTTTCAACTTACAAACACTAAAGTTATGGCTTTTCAGATCGTTCAGTTATATGGCAGCTATAGGATATAGTCGTCCGATCCCGGCCGTTCCGACCTATGTACTGCGTGCAAAGGATCGAAAGATGTGTGCAATGTTTCAATTCGATTTCTTTAAAACTGAGAGACTAGTTCGCTTAGAGACAGACAGACGGACAGACAGGCGGACAGACGGACAGGCGTACATGCTTATATCAACTCCGGAGGCGATCCTGATCAAGAATATATATACTTTATAGGGTCGGAGATGTGTCCTTCATTGCGTTGCACACTTTTGACCAAGGGTATAACAATAAAGCAGGTGCGCTGCATTTTGCCATCGTTTCTATGGCAGCTATGTTATATCAATAACCATAGCATTTTAATGATTCCATTTTTTTTAATTGTTAAAATGAACGATTTTTTATTTGAAAACACCATTAATTTTTAATTTTTTTATATGGTTATTAAAGCTATTTTCATTTTAAATGAAAAGCAACTTTTTTCGTGACACAAAAGTCTTGGCACAGTTAAAATAGTTTTCTGTACTATTTCTATATTAACCCGGATATGGTTATTCTTTTTTATGAAATATATAACGGGTTTCCCGTTAAATAACATGTGATCAAAGTTTCAAAGAATTTTTGCTGTGTTGCGTTTTTGTATGTATTTTGTTTTGATTTTTTTAAAAAATGGAGAATAAGAGCAAGGAATCCAAAGAAAAATTGTCCTGCATCTCTACAACGAAGGAAAATCCTATGGCGAAATCGCCAACATAATGGAAATGAACCGATTTTCAGTTCGAAGCAACGTGCAACGATTTAAGGGAGCTTCCAGTTTGGAGAATGCACCTAGACCTAGTGCGGGACTGTATATGATTTTGTAGCCCGATCCGGCTCGTTCCGACTTTCATATATATAATATTTGGTGCCTCGTGACGTTTTGGATATGTCGAAATCGACCAACTCTTACTGCTAGAGCCATCTACTGACAAACAGCGAGTACTTAGTAGCGCACATAATATTACCTGCAATATAAAGACAACTTAAAATTGAGGGACTAGTTTGCGTAGAAACGGACAGACGGACGGACAGACAGACGGAAGAACATGACTAGATCGACTCTCCTGATAATGCTGATCAAGAATATTTATACTTTATTGGGTCGGAAATGTCTCTGTTGCAATCTTTTGACTGAAATTAAAATACCGTGGGAGTAAAACATTCTAGTCGAGGCCAAGCCAATGTATCATTCTTCTTCCATACGTTGAACGGATAGTCCATAAGGTTTTGCCATTCCGTTAGTTCCCCATCCGAAATTGACCGACTTTTTTATGCGATAGTTGGGCGATGTTTTTTCGGTGCAAATATCGTATGATATACATATATATGTATTGCCGTCTTCGCACAGAGATTCATCCACCATCCGTTGAACGGATAGTCCATAAGGTTTAGCCGTTCCGAAAATTCCCAGTTAGTTTTCAATCGAAATTTGACGGACTTTTTTATGCGATAGTTAGGCGATGTTTTTTGGTGCAACTCTGAGTTTTTCTTCTTGACAGTGAAAATTTAAACATTCACAGAAACCTGGTTAAAACCGGAGATCCTAAGCTCCGAAGTTTTTCCTGGTAGGTACACAATATATGTATATATAGGTATGACCATCCCCCTCTAGCCGGGAGGTGGAGTCTTAGTTGGAGTGGTTTCAAACCTTACGTCAGAGAAATTTTTTTCGTAAAGTTATCGCTTTCTGGTAACTCTATATAAATATCTGTTCATATATTCCTCCGTTTTCTGAACTTTCTGATTATTTAAATCACCGTTC